GCATATTTAATAAAGATTTTAAACAAGTTTTTGATTATACAGACAGTGCATATAAAAAAATTTAATGGTTATTTTTAAATATACTAGGTATTATTAACTATAATTAATTGTTGATTTTTTTTTTCCAAATTATTAACAACTTTACTAAATCAAATAGGTATTTCAAATATTTTAAAATAATATTTATGATTAAGGTACCTACCTACCAATTATTATTATTATTTTAATAATGTATCAACTACTACTAATCACTTTAACCTTCATATTATTATGAAAGGCTAAATATAAAAATGATTTATCTACCTAATTATATTTATTTAGAAGTAGAAATACTGTAATTATAGATTGATGATTAAATCAGTTTAATATTTTAGTGTTAATTTATTAATCTTCTAACTTATTACTTTTATCTAAATATTTTATTCTTATGATAATATTATACATTTTGATATTTTGTATTTTAAAATAAGTATAACCTAATTTGATATTTATGTTAATAAAAAATAATTTACATTTAAAATGTTTTACTAGTATTGTGTAAATTATATGTTGTAAAATATAATTAATGGTCAATTTTACTAAATAAAATTACAGTTAAATTTAGTATTTACTTGATGAACAGAGAATAGGTAGTTACTTTACAAAGTACAAAGACACTAAACTGATAACTATTCAGTATTTATAACATAATACTATTTATTAGGTAACATTAAAAAAAAAGTTTTATCAATATTTATTGTGTGATAACTACATAATTTGATGTTTTAAAAATAATACTAGAACCTAAAACAATTAAAGCATAGACTTTGATATGAGACATATTTATATTTTTAGTATGACAATAGGTATTTTCTAACATTTTATTACCTAATTTACTAGAGAATTCAAGTATGAAACTTTCATTTTTAATATTTTCGATGACCATGATCATGACTTGGAACTTTATTTATTTAAGATCATAAAAATAAGCGCTTAAACATGTGTTTATTTTTAATTAAAAAAAGACATACTTGTACAAATTAAATTATAATACTAAAAAATTATTATACTCACTCACTAGTAAAATAATTATTGTATAAACAAGAATTACGATAAGTCACTGAAAAAAATTGGGATAAAATAGGTTAGATGTATACGCTTTTGTGGACACAAATTTCGATCGCAATGTAAAAATAAACCGACAACAATCAAAACGAAACAACGGATCAAGTGAAAACAGGAATAGCACTACACAAGGACATCCAATATGAAGTACAAGGTTACACGAGAAGAGTCGATAAATAGTGGCTTTTACAATATTATACCTAAGAGGTCGCATACCGGATAAGGTGTAACGTTGGTCGTACTACTCACTTGTGTGGCGCGTAAAGGCGATTTGATGCAGCGGCGACTGGACAACAATGTGTGTATAATGTACCTTATGATATTATATTATAGTGACTAGAAACAATACATGGCGAAGTGTTCGAAAACGACAGTTCTAGGACGGTACACAAACGTCCGCACACAAAAGCGTGGCGGGTTAACAACGACGAAGGAGACGTGTGCGTTCCAACCGTCGACTTTACGATAATCTACGACGATGACGACGACGACGAATCTTCGGGCATCAACAACGACGGATAATAATAAAAACGGTAAATATTAATAACGATTTTAGAAAAAAATAAGAATACAGCTCGACCGATATCACGGATCGACTCGGTGATAATGATTTTCAAACAAACGTACTGCACACTATCAATTACACGCCAACGAATTACGCACGCACGCGCAGTACACGCACTGTCGCACACACGCGGAAGCGGGTAAGACGGATTGTAAATTATTGTAATGATAATATTGTACGATGCGATGATATCATGCGAGCGGCAAACGACGTCATCCCAAACCTTGGAGGAGTGTAATGGTAGGTGCTCACGTACGGGTATAATAGTACAAATAGTATAAATAGTATAATATTTTATATTATTATCAAGGTGATGGTAACGTCGTCGAATAGATTTATAATTCTATAGTGAAAATATATTGTGTATGTGCTTATTGCCACCGTCGAGGTCCGGTGAAAATGGTCATAATAATATTAACAGTATTATATTATTATTATTATTATTGTCGCATTGCGTGATCGAATTAATAAATATTATATCGACATATCGTATTATTATTATTATGTCAATGATAGGTTACGAGTGTTAGGACGGTCGTCGATACGCGACCTCCGACGAAACCGACGAATAATATATTTTTACTATTATTATAAATTATAATTATATTTATTATGCTAATAAACTAATAGTTAATAATCGGACAGCTGATGGAGCGTACTTCCGCCGATCGACGATCACAGACTTCTATACCGCACACGCTACACGTTTACACGTCATAGTGCCTATAGAAATCTGTATCGGTGACGAGCACGGGGCATAGATAGTTTTATAAATTATATTTTATATTATAAGATACGATGCTCATGTCCTATTTAACAATAACAGGGAGAGGGACAAAACATATTTATAAATATTTTACTTACCACCACATGATTGCCAAGTATATAATATATATATATATATATATATATATATATAGGTTGATGATAGGTACTGTCGCGCAGAGTATTATAATATTATATTTTAGTGTACTGTAATACTATGAGTTCGTTTCGTCAGTAGTCCAGAATACTGTTCACAGGCAAGCGGTTAGCAGACACTAAACACCGTGATAATATTATATTAAACCGACGACAGTAAAAGGAATAATAATAATAATAATAATAATAATATCGTGTATGATGTATAAATATTGTATTAAGACGAAAGCCGCACGTGACTATATTATTCATGTTAAATATTCCTGTCCCGAGCTGGGTCACCGAATACGCACGCACGCATATAATGCATTATGTACATCTATTATTTGCAGTTAATTCATTTTATTGCATTAAATAGGCGGATATGATACGTTTTATACAGTAGACGGGTGTACACCCCCTCGACCACTACCTCCGAACAGGCTAGATACCTCACGGTGAATAACAACGAAACATCTTAATAATTTAATATACCTATGTATGCGATATGCGAATGCTGGTACCTATTATTGTCGTCTCCTCGACACGAGTACCTACCGAATATTATACGATTGTTAAAAAAATATTTATTCACTCGGTTAGGAATATTATTACACACGAGTACCTTTACCAACGATATAATATTATTAATATTATTATTATTATTATTATTATTATTATTAAAATGTTATGCAATACTTCTCTGTCGGTCGGCGAGTCGGTGCAGCAGGTCTAGTTTAAAAAATATGTATTATTATAATATTGTTATCGTTGTTGTCGTACGATCGCGATCGTGCCGGTTTTCGATCGCTGCCGATGTGTCGAGTACTGAATGTGACGCATTAAAATATAAAAATATATAATTATTTCTTACGGGATCGTAGGTAGAGGTGTGGGTTACTATTGTAATACTGCTATTGCTACCGACGGTGTCTCAACGGCGGCGACGATGACCGCCTGGCCGCCGCCGTTCCGATCGATTTCCGCGACGACATGACCGTGGCACTCGACAATATGTAGCGCGGGCGCCGAACACGACGATTGGTACCCATCACGAGTCATAGAGAGCACTGCCCCAATAGAGTACGGAGCGTTAATGTGCAGCGCTCATATTATAATATTCGTAAATCGCGTCACAAATCATCTACGATATTGCCCACGTCTAAGTTTTGAACGAAATTGCGTTTGAAAGCAAAACGCCGTTTGTTTCCGTCGCGCACGCTCTTACTTTTTTTAAACGGTCCGTCGGACCGGTCGTCGACGGTATATTAGGTATACGTTTTTTTAATATATTAGGTATGCATTCATATGCCAGAGGCGTATCTACGATTTGGTGCCCTTTTTTCCCTCCTGAGCAAAAAAAAATTCATCACATAAAAAAAGCTTCTTAAATTTATAAGAAATTATCATATTATTATTTTTTCCACTTTGCGTAACTCCGCTATCTGGATAACATTTCACGAAATGGATACTTAAACTACACAAAACGGAAAAAGTATTTTTATACATGCACATTGCCAGGTTGTCGATGCCCAGTACTTATTATCCAACGTGTGACATTGTTTAGTGTTACCTATTAATTGAATTCATGAGATTTCAGATCACATTTAAAATGAATTAATTTGTAGATTGAAGAACAGCAAGGTTTTCAATTTCGGGAGTAGATAGATCCCCCTTTACATAACATTTATGTGTTATTGTAGAAATATTAAATTATAATTTCGTTATTACCCTGTAGTGTTTATACAAAAATTAGTAAAATTGTTATATTGCAGATTAGCTATATAATTATACGTTTATAAGAGAAGCAAAATTGCCAAGATCAGTGTTAAATCTAGATAATTTCTCTAGAGGGGTTTACTTATTTTTTCATTGTTGAATGGTGATACATTTTAGTATTGTGAATTAAACCTATTATTAATTATTACAATTTAGAATTTAGACATTAGGTGCGGTAATTACAACGAGTATTGTGCATTTATACATTTAATAAATAGATACACTTTGTTAAAAGTTGTATTCGTCAGAGGGGTGTGAATCCTTGTGTTTATTATAATAACTATTTGATAATTTGATTTTTAACGGATGTATGTCATCTTATATACATGTCTATAATGTGCTTTATATATATAATATAGTGTTATAGATACATACAATTGATATATGTTCATATCATAAATGAATGGTTTATTTTGTTTATAATATGAATAATATGATACATTCAGATATTTCTATAAAAATTTAAACTAACTCTATATTAGATTATACATTAATAATTTATTGATATAGTATAGGTTTGTTTTTATAAAAAGAATTTCAATTTTTCTCATAAGGACAAATAGGTACACATTTTTACCATTATAAAATGTTTTTTAAAAAAATAATTATTATCTATGAAGATATGTGCTTATAGTATGACAATACATCATATTATATTGAATATATTTTTTAAATAGTGTAACATTTTTTCCATTGTATTAGATAGGTAGTCTTTTTATATAAACTAACAAATTTTTAGTAACATTTTTAATGTTTTATTGCACTATTAATCAAAACTACTTACTTATTCTTAGAAATTAATTATAAATCATAGGTATATATATATTTTTACTTGTTGCTCAATATAAAATTTCATATAATGGTTGTGGAGAATCATATAGTGACGATCCACCTAAAAAAAGATTTAATTAAATTATTATGAATTTTAAGTACCCAAATTACAGTAAACGGTAAAAAAAAGTCCAATCTAAATATTATTTAAAATAAATATTTTTTTATTAAAAATAATTTACACAATTATTTGTTATTAATCATTATTATTAGTTGTTAACAATCCGATTTGTTACCATTAGTTAATTTAAAAGTTAAATATTATTACCTGTGTAATGAGGAGCTGAAAAAACTGGACAAAATATTTCTGGATGAATTGGTAAATCAACATTGGTAGCTAAAATGAATCAAAAAATAGCATTACAAATATTTGAAAAAATGTAAAATAAAAATTAATTATAAATACAATAACATATAATATAATATAATGTTGTAATATATTTTATATGTTATTTATTCTTCGTCTGCGGGCCGTCATTTGGTGACTCCTGTTAAATGGAACAATTTATTGGATTTAAATAATACTTTGATTTTCTATTATTTGTTTTGTATACCTAGGTTTAAATATGTATTTACCTAAATCTTTTAAATTGTAATATAATTTATTCATTGCATACGACAATACAAGTATATATTTAATCTATGATTTGTTTTACATGTTTTTTAACAGTTTTATATAAAAAAGATGCTCATATATCTATTATAATATAGTTTGTTATGATCAATGTCCGTTATCAAATAATATACTTAAAGTAACATAAATATTTTAAAATTTATTAGATATAAAATAAATTTATGATATTAAACAATTATTACTTACATGTATATAGTGTAGGAGTTTTTGTATATCTAACTGGTGGCACATTACACAGGTTTTGTTTTGAAATACATGTCTCTGTAAAATATATAAATTAAAATGTTATGATAACCGGTGTCTTTGAGGGTTATACATATTAATAAACTTAATAATAAATTACAAACGTTGTGTAGCGAAGAGGAAAATCGAACAAAGGGCGTATTTAGGTATGGTCATCAAAGACGCAGAATATGTTTAATGAGGTAACGATAGTATAGAAGACAAGTAATGTGTTTCAACTTTTAAAGTATAATCAACGATATTGGAGCAGACGACTCAAATAGACACACTTAAAAGAAAAACCACTAACTAGACATGGTAATAATACCTAAATAAATTAAATAATATTAATTAATAGTGTACACGGAGTGTCTGACAGAGATTACAGAAAAATAATTCCAAGATTTTAATTTATTTTAATATCGATTACTTACATAATAATGGTAATAGGTACCTATAAAATTAAAAATATTGATGAATTGTTTTCTAATTACCAGGTCTCGTAAGTTTGTTTATTATTAGACATAAATCTTACGAAGTTGTGTTCACTATTCGTTCCTAGTGCCGAGTTGTATTAAAAATGAATTAATTTAATGGTTCTATAAAATTTAAAAAACATACTTGTACAAATTAAATAAAAAAAAAAATTCAATGTGAAATGTGGAGTCACGCTATTGATTATTGTTTTATCAGTATTATTGCAGACGAAATTATAATATAAAATTAATTCAGAATGAACAGTGTTAATTGTATACACCAGCGGTTCCCAAACTTTTTTAGTTCACGTATCTCCAAAAATAAAAATATTACCGTATCGCAGTGTTTTTATAGTTAACTTATAATTTTCCGTTGCCTGCGATCGCTTTAATATATATATATATATATTAATAACGCGTATTGAATACATATCATCGAAAGGGAGGGACGAGCGGCTAGACGCGTCAAGTGACTTTTTTCTAACCATTTAGATTTTATTTTTTTTTTTTTTGTAAACTGTTAAAGTTTTGACAGACACGCTGGCTAAATCCATTTGCGTTGAAAACTGCAACTGGCGGAGAAAAGAAAAATCATCGTCACCTCCGCGCGCCTCCAACTCTCTTCAATAAATCTCTAACACTATGTTACCAGGGAGAATAATCGAATATAATTTGACATTGTGTCATCGCCGCCGTACGACGCGCGCAGTGTCGCGTCACGCGCAGCTGCGGCCGTGGCCGTTGCGTACCGCGAACTTTGTCGGCGTTCGGCTGCGGCCACGTGTCTCGGGCGGCCGCGGCGGTGTTGGCGTCTTGCCGTTTGCACGTCGTCGTCCCGAAGCAGTTGAAGAACACGACGAACATGATGACGAACACCAGGGCGATGGCGACCAAGGTCATGGCGAATATCCAAATGAGCCTCGTCACCAGCTCGTCGTACTTGAGCGCCGTCGCCTCCAGAGGGGTCCACGCCGGTTCGGCCGATCGGTTTTTGGCCGCCGCCGCCTTCGCCTCCGCCGCCGTCTCCGCCGGTTTCCGCGCCTCTGCTGCTGCGGCGTCGACGGCGCCTCTTCCGGTTCTCGTGTCGTTGGTGGCCTCGTCCACGGCCGCGGGTTCCCACGTGGCCGTCTGCAGTCGTATGGTGGTGCTCAACATCCGGAACCGTCCGGAACGGTCCACCGCCGGCGCCGGCTCGTCGGTTTTGCGCACGGTGCCGTTGCGGCCGTCCGCTGCTGCAGAGACCGTCTTCCGGCCGGGCAACCGATCACCGGTGCCACCGCTGCCGCCTCCACCGCCGCAGAAAATCGACGATCCGCCGGCGGCCGTCTTGCAGCACCCGGCGCGGTGGTCGCAGTCCGGACAGCCTTTGTCGCAAGAGTTCGCGCAGTCCAGGCCCCAGCGCCCGACGTCGCACTCTGAAACACACAGATCGGCAGATTCCGTGAGTTTTAAAAATCTATTTATTCGTTATATCGACATTTTCGTTATATCAAGAGAATATTATATCAATTCAATTCGTTATAACGAGATTTAAAACAAAAATTCCAAAATTTTATTATTCGTGTACATACAGTAGAATCTCGGTAATCCGACACATATCAGACCACGCTACTGCCAGATTAACGAAAACGCCGGATTAGTGGGGAGTTCACAAAAAAAAACGCATTTTTACTTGTTGAATTTTACATTTTTACTCGTATTAAAAAATGATTTAAAAATTTTTTAGATCGAGAGCAGTTTTCTTTTTGTTTATTAAGATTAGATCTGTTATTACTTAGTTTTATCTAACGGTTTATCGTTTACGATGGTAAATTTATATATAAATACATATTGGTACATATAGGTTAATAC